CCATGCCCAGCTGGACGACTGCCCAGGCCAAGGGCAGGGACCCCCTATTTTGGGGATTCAGACTCCAAACCCCCCCGGGGGTGCTGAGGGGGCTGGAATTACAGTCTTGAAGCACCGCACATAAAGCGCCTTCCCTGGCAACTGTTGTTTCCATGGAAAATGTCGACTCTCTGCCTCTCGGAGCATTCTGCAGCGTTTCAGGGAGCCGCGGCGCTGCTTACAGCTTATTTCACACCGTGGGCCGCAGCCCAATCAGACCTATTGGTGGTGAATAAATCTGTGTTTCGTGCAATTAAACTCCCCGGCCGAAGCGGTGGCGGCATGGCTTTGATGACTCTCTCTTTCCCGCGCATTGCTTTGCCCAACACAAAAGGTTCGCGGCTGCCTAAGGAGAGACTTTGCAGAAGCAGGTGGTGTTCTGCCGCGGGAGGCCGGAGGAAGCCGGTTAATCGGCGTCTGTTCCCCGCCAGGCATCAGTGTAAGGAAGACAACGGGAAAGAGCCGAGGCCTAATCAGGTGCTTTGAAATAGCCATATTTACTGATGGCAATTGCAAAAATAAAGGCTTTTCACAGAGACCAAGCCAGAGCAACAAACTCAGCGGGAGCAGGTGAACCTCCCTGAACAAGTGACCTCTAGATAAAGGGACCAAATAGCAGCTCTGAAATGGTGAGATAAAGCCACCGAGTTTCAACGGAAACCCAACTTTTCAGGGAATTAGTGCAGGCTTGTTATTGCTTTCCCATAATGAGCCTGTTTGGGAGAGCGGCAGGCGTTCAATCAGCCGCAGCTCCCCAGGGGGCTGATTTTGTGCCGCTGGCAGAGCTATAATTTCATGCCCAGAATTGCCCAAGTCCCACTTTTCCCCATTTTTTTGCAGACAGCGGATCAGGGGGAGCACTGGTCCCCATCAGCCTGGACCCTCTCACTGCGGATGAGCTGATGGAGAAGATGACTGGCGGAGCTGGGGAGCCTGGGCACGCCACTGCCCTCAACCTGCTGCCGGCTG